GGGGGGGACTGAAGTGCCCCTTTGGCCAGGACCCCGTTGGCCGCCACCTCTAGCCAGCGGATGTGGCTGCGGAATGCCGCCGTCCTGTGGGGGAATTCCCACTTCAACGTGGCCGTGTGGCCGTCGAGGCGAGGCGATGTGCCGTCGCTCGCATGATCGATTCGGGTCACAGAAACGGCGCACGATAACCCGACTGGAGAAAACAAAATAACAACATTCTCTGCACTTGGCGCGTCAGGGCCTTCCCCCCGGCAGGCGGCGGCCCGGCCCCCCTGGACCCACACGAGCGTCTCACATCGACTCATTAATATCCAGCCGCCAAGTGGCAGCCGCCCCGAGGTGAGCGCTCACGTCAAACGGCAGACAGAATGACGTGGGAAAAATAAAAATAAAAACTTAAGCAAAATCTCAACAGGGGAGAGGAAAACGGACCTATTACAAATAGTGTAATGCCTCGTCATCGTGGACGTCTGCGGGTGGGGTCAGACGATCGGTGTGTCATCCGTTATGTTGGCCGTGCACAAGCAGCTCGCTTTTGAGGTGCTTCATCCATGGCAGTCTAACGAGACTCTGAATGTTCTGAAGACTAAAGTAACGGCAGCTTTTTATGGGGCGCTGTGATGAACTTGAAACTCGCATACTCCGCCGTGGCCAAGACATTTCCTCGCAACCCCGAAAACAAACCAACCCAACTTGGTGTAGGCTAAATGTACTACCACCGCAAAAAGAATTTGAACCCATTCTACTTGGACTATCGCCATCAGAGGGGTTTAGTTCTTGTTGCGCTGATGGTACACGCCTCTACAACTACGATGGCTAGCTGCCCGGCGCCCTCGCCTGCGCCTGTGCGTGATCATGAACTTGGCCTGGAGGTGGACATGTTTTCAAAACATTGACGGCCGTTTTCCCACGCATCCGCAACCACGTGCCCCGGCCTGCTTTGTGCTCCACCCGTTCGTCGCAAAACAATTCGGATGGGTCGACGACCCAGCCGTCTGCGAAGACGACCGTTCGGGCGAGTTTATCGTCCGGTAGGGACAGGCTTGACCCCAATTGAAGAACGGTACAGGAGGGCACCCGTTGAAAAAGCAAGTGTACGAATGCCACACACCTTGCAAGTGTGCGAATAAATTCACAATGTTAGAGGTATGCTACAACCTTTTCACACTATTCCAGGTGAGTGGATGACCATTCACGCTCTTTACACTGCTGTTCTAGGTGAGTAAATGACCATTCACGCATTTAAGAATGAGCGAATATCGATTCGCACAAGAGCAAAGGATAGCCAGTTCTTCCACCTTCAAGCCAAAACAGTAAATTGCCCAGCAGAAACAGTGTGAATGAGTTGTCGCGCATCTAAAACACTGTCAACTTCATTCGCTCAGCCGCTTGTGTGCAGCATTCGTCCAATCGATTTTCAGTATGGGGGACTTCAGGGCTCAAGCCACTGGCGGTGACTACAGTGACGGTAGGCCGGGCAACCTGCACGCGGTAGCAGCAGGCGGCACAATACAATTACAAAGTCCACACGGGCAACGCACACAAAAAGAAATTAATACGGCAGAAACTGTCCGCCTGCTGGAGCCAAGATTGACAGTAACTACTCTGCCCAGGGAGGAATCATTACCAGACAAGGCTGGAAGCGCGCGTGTTGAGACTACCGTTTAGAGCGTCCAGGTCGACTCTCCTGGGAACGCCAGTGACGCCCGCGGCCCGCGCGCCCAGTGCGTCACTCTCGGCCGGCGCTGCAGGAGTGACGTCCCGTCAAGTCACCCCAAACGCGATCTGACCCACCACCGCCCGCCGTCCGTCCCCCCGCGGTGCGTATCGCCCCGGGGACCACCGGCCCCTGCAGCAACCGCAACGCGACCAGAGGGGGAGACAGAAGTCAGTCGAAGAAGTCTACGCTGTAAACCCTGGAAGTCTAGCATGTGAATCTACGTCACCGGGAACCCCCAAAACACGACGACTTTGCTCAGGGATTCACACTTGTCCGCTAGGCAGCAACGAAGTGTATGTGTGGGGGG